AACATTAATGGCAGCTTGGCCTCGTATTTGCTGGAGTACACGCTTTCAAGCCAGACTGAAACACAGAGGAGGGTTTTTTTTTGAGGGGTATGAAGGAGTTACAAGGGTAAAAGTATTAAATTTTTAATAAAAATATTCAAAAGCATATGTACAGCAAGTTCTTAATACATAAATACAAAACATTTAGTACAGTTTGTTTTGCACAAATAAAGTAAGGTATGAGTAGCACCTCCCGTGAGGAGCACAGTTCAGACAGAAGCAAGCCTTGAGCACTTCAGTCCCAGGGATATTTACATTCTTGACTGGCTTCTGCCAGACAAAACAGAAAAAGGGATGATGGGGGTGAAAACCCTTGGATTCAATGAATACTGCACCTTAATATCCCACTTTTGGAAAGAGCACATGTATATAAAAATCCTGTGCACCACCATTATTTTCTCATATTCTTTTAATGAACAGAAACTAACTTCTGTGAATTCCCTGAAGGAGTTAATTTAGTCCTCAGAAAATTATTCTGAGCTCAGCATCCTCAGTGAGCAGAGCTACTTCCCTGCAGCACTGAGTTGGGTGCAGAAGTCTAGAAAGGACGAGGTTTAAAATTATCTTTTTCTCTTATCATCTATCCACTGAGTGCAGCATCGCACTTGTTATTTTCTGAATCACCAATACACGGTATTAAGCCTTCCCAGGAAAACAGCTCAGATAATTCTGGATTCCGGAGATTGAGGACCCTAAAACCCAGGTTCTCAGTTACTTAACTGCCTTGTATCAACTGCCTTACTGGAACACAAGATATTTTATTCGTAATATATTTCAGTTACCTCTAACAGAGTACAGCTTGTCATATTGAAAGAAGTCACACTGAATAGATGTAATCATACTGGTTTTTATTTTTATTTGGGTCATCTACTTGGCTGTTTATCCTGTAGTGGACACCTGTAACTCAAATTTTGAAACTGTCTAAAGATGCAAGTCGTTTAGCCAGTGCACAGAGCACAACGACTGCGCCTGTTACCTGACATATACAACATTGTTAATTAAACGTGATTTCTTCCAATCGTTCACGTAGATTTTCTTAAGTGATATAGCCATAGTCCAGATAGCTGAAGTATCTTAAATAAGTGGCACCATTGACACTCTGCTCTTCAACACCTGGCCAGCTTGGCTCCACTATGGCTGACTGGTACTGAATCAGTTAACAGGCCAAACAGGACTTCAGCTGATGCAGTGGATTTGCTGTTTATGCAAGTCAAGTACCTGTCCTGGACCTACAGCTTGAGGGAGTGCAGATCATGGGCAGCCAAGTGACTCCACAGCAGTTCAGCTCCAGCCCTGAGAGGCAAAGCATCCATCATACTGGCTGGTCATGTTTGTCTCCCTCACAGGGACCCTCATAAATAAGAGCATGGTGCATAAACCCCTAAATTCTGCTAGACAACATGCAGCAACGTTTCCTTTGAGTGCAATTTAAGCAAGTAAGAAACATAACTCAGAGCTGGCTCTGGAGGCTGTACAGCTGCATCTGCATTTGACCACACATGGGTTTAATAAGCCTCCCAGATTCCTGGGCAAGACCTCTATTCATTCATGCAGGTATTCACATCTACTGCGTGGCTAATCTGAAAAAGGCCTCATCCAGTCACAACGACTGTGAGCTGAGTACAGCAATTTGCTTGCTGCCTCAGAAGTAAAATACCATCAGTAAAAACCAACCTCCAACTCCTGGCAGAACTTGATAAAGTATTCTCACCAAGAATGCAGAAAGAGCTATTTATTGGCTTCAAATAATTTGCTGGGTCCTGAAAGGCTGTCTTGCTGCTGCAATTTCCTGCCTAAGGCAGCACCATAAGCTTGATTTTGAAAAGCTGTTGCCCTAAATAGCAAATATAAGGCAGCACTGAAACATCCAGAGTGCAAGCAGCATCACAGCGTAGCTGAATTCTGCAAAAGTGAGATCTGAATGATTCTGAATGAGAAACTCTGATGGCCTCACCATGGTTGAGTCTCACATGTGCAAAGGAATCCAGCCCCCGACTTCATTAGCATCCTTGCGAGCTGTTACTATCTCCTAGCACAGTGTTTCAGAAACATATTCCATTTCCTTGGGAGGTGGCAGTACCAAAACACATGTTGATGAGCAGCAGAGTGAAAAGTGAATCTAAAAATTCCCCACGACTCCCCACAAGATAGTCAGGTTTTTCTACTTTTAGAGTACCCTAGCAAAACTGGAATGAAGTTAATTTTGTAGTTTGGCCCTGGCCCACTGCTTTTTATTATCAAAATAATTTTTTAAAAATTAAAAATAATCAAGAAACCTGCAGACCATCATATAACCGGTGAAGCGACATTTCCCAAAATAATTTGCAAGACATTAAAGTTTTAGCAACTTCAAAAAAAAAAAAAAAGACACTTTGGAGAAGAAAATTGCAAAATATCTTTTATTTCTATACCTGTGCTTTCTTATGAGGTATTTGCAATGTCTTAGCAGGTATTCCTTTGAAGGTCGACAGAGCTTCAGAGACCAGAAATCATCTAATCTCATCTTTGGAGAGCAGGATTTGCCAGGATTCCCTCCAAATAAGTAATGAACCTAAGCAAATGAGAGGCAGACCAAAAAGTTGATTGTACATCTGTTGAACAAAGACTATGTACTATGTCAGCATCTTTGGAGAGGTTTATTCTGGAGGGAGAAAACTCCGCCTTTTAGACAAGCTGCTCCATCTTATTATGAGCCTTATTTTGTCCCCTAGGAGACGAAGAAAGTTTATCTTAAAATGTAAGCAGTTTAAGAAATTAAAAAAGCTGCACTGTTATAACATCCCTCTAGCAGATTCCTGAGATATTTATAAACAAAAATCCACCAACCATGTCATCTCTTTTTTTCAGAAAAATCCTCTGAGCATGTCCTTAAGCACGTAAGATAAGAGCAGGAAAGGAGGATCTGAGCCAACTCGTGTTGCCCTGTTCATAGAATCACAGAATGGTTTGGGTTGGAAGGGACCTCAAAGATCACCTAGTTCCAACCCCCCTGCCATGGGCAGGGACACCCTCCACTACACCAGGTTGCCCAAAGCCTGGTTCAAATCGAGTTCAAATACTTGATGCAAAGAATACTCAAACTGATGGATTACCAACCTCTTCTCCAATCTTGTCCTCAGAGACTCTAAATTCTCAATGTCATGAGAGGGGCTAAATTAAGGCACTTGTATTAAACCCTTCTCTAATTTGAGGATGACTAGATTACACCCATATAATTGTGAGATGACTCCAGCAATCTCACATTTTGTTTGAAGAAGAAACATTTATGCTTGTTAGGAAGATTCAGAAAAAAAAGAGACTTTGCAGACTAATGCTCTGGCTCCAGTCAGAGCACTGTTGGTGGAGCTGCACTACTGAAGCACCACAGTTCAGACAAGCAGCCTCTTCCTTGAGTCAGCAAAGACCATTCTCTTCCCCAAAGACAAGGGCCGCTGGCAAAGCGAGTGGGAAGTCCTAAAGATGCTCGAAGTAGAGTGACAAGCCTGGTCCAACATAATCTTGGGAGATGAACAACAGGCCTGTGTCCTCAGATGTCCCATAAACTCTACATTGTCTTCATTTAACTTGCAAAGAAAAATATTTCCATGGCCTCTGGGAGGGCAGCTTTGTCCCACCTCAAGACAGCAGCCTAGCTGCAAGACACTCAAACTGCCTGGGCACGAAGGAAACAGCTAACTGAAGAGTAAAACAAAAAGCCAAAACTGCAACATTAAGAACTGAGAAGAAAACATATATCTTATCTAGAATCAGAAGTCACAACCATTACTGTGATTGCCTTCAAAAAAGGTTCTAGCAATCCTGAGATGTCAATCATGGAAATATTAAAAATACCAGTATTCTCTTTTTCCCCCCGCCATGGTAGCTCAAATCAAGTAGCCTAACAGCCATTCTGAGTGTTTCAGGACACGACACCTTTGAAATGCAAGGTTAGACTTACAGAGAGAGGTAAACCTCAAGAAAAATGGAAGTGTTAAAAAAGGACTGTTTATTTCTTCAATTTTTTTTTTTTCCTTCACATCGTTTGGTATTTCAGACTCTGAACTGTTGATATTAAACATGCCACAAAGGGTCTTCAAACACAGAGGTTCAAGAAGTCCAACAGGCTACCTTTCTCCACAGCTTTAAAAATAATCCCTCAAAACAATGTACTCTGCATCCCACTGATGTAGGCTCTCCTTATTTATATCAGAGGAGTTTAGAAAGGTCATTTGAACAGAGGTTTCTAAAAATAAGACTCTTCAAAACAAGCACATCAAATAGCTCTTCAGATAAAGCTGGGCAACTGCCATGATTTAGCAACCTTCCCAGTAATTTATAAAATACTACTCTCAATCTCACGGTACCTTACACTTAGAAGTAAGCCATTAAAGGCAAAACCAGTATTTATGGTCTATCACTAAAGTTTGTGAAGATGACAAACCATACAAGTTCTCCATACAGAACTGCCACCTATTCCTCCTTAAAATCCCCCTTATCCCCAAACTTTTGGGCTAGTTGGGTTTCCCAAATTCGATTAACATCCCATGGAATGATAAGACTAAAGTATATTTGTCTTTCAGTTCAGACTGTTTCGGTCTAAAAAGCAACTTTAGAAAAAGTTTATTTTAATTGCAAAATATCCTTGAAAGGTTAAGTAAGTGTGTCACAGCAATTTAAATTCATAGGTTAATGAAGTTACAGTAACCTAATCCATGGGTTTGTGCTTTATTAGTTAGCATGCACAAAGCCCTAAGTTTATGAGCAGTCATGCACACTACGAAATTTTAAGTATATTTAAGCATGAACGTGTCCATTAAAGTCAGATAGTGCTAAAGAATGACAGCTGCTTCTGACACGCAGGGCAAAGTAAGGCAGCTCTGTTAGAGCAGATTTTTAACAGTGATTAGGTTCATTCAAACCCACTTCCTCCTAGAAATGTTGGCAACTATCTGTGACCATTTAGAGGGATGAACGTGGCAGCTAAACTAAAGATACCACTCCACAGTCAGTAACAGGTTGTGAGATTTAGGTCCTTGAAGATAATGAATAAAGCTTCAAGTGTTCTCAAGCACGAGAAGAGCTGGGAGCTAGCTGCTTGAAACTAAAGGTTTGGCGTATCCCATTGTCTGCATTTTGATTTAAGCTAGGAGCCATCACGTCTACTTCACATTGACATAAAAAGTAGCTTAGCACCTTATTTCAAAGGATGATAATAAGTTAAATTAAAGTTACCTGTCACATTAACGCTATACAAAAAAGTCATTGTACCATCTTTGAAGTAGTAAATATACTGTAAGAGCAGTAAGACTCAAAAAAAAAAAAAAATACGCCTATGTATGTGGAACCTCGTACCTTGTGCAACTCATCGTACACCAGTTGATGGGCAAACCTTGGGCAGGGCTCCTCTTCCTGAAGGCTTTTACCTGGATTCTCTTTTGCTGCTTGGTCATTCTTATAGACACAAGACCTGAAATACAAGGCAGTAAGTAACGATTAGTAACACCTACAGCCAGTAGAAAAAGTTACTGAAAGGCTGTAAGGTTAAAATGATGTAAATTTGAACTGCTTGGCATGTAACACCAAAGATTTTCTTACTTTTTCATCTATTGTCTTCTATTATCCCATCCCCATTCTTAGCTCTACAAAGAAATCCACCCAACAATTAGAGAAGACCATCTTGGCTGAACACGGTCCTCAATCACAAGCCAAACGGGAAAAAAATTCTAGAGAATTTTGTCCTAAGCTTTGAAGGTATCTTTAGATGCTGCATTATTTGCCAGCAGAATTGTCAGCATGAAGTATTTTTCATTATGGAGAACACCATTTTGACCCACTGGAGCAACAGGTCACAAACTTAAGCAAAGCTAACATTTCAATCACTGATTTCCAAGCAGACTTCTGGGATTTTTTTCGAACTGAGATCCCATTTTTAAAAAACAGCATTCACATGCTCCACATTAGAAGACACCTTGAACACAAAAACACCGCCAGCTCCGGAAAGGGGCAGTGGCAGCTATCAAATACCATACAGCAAATAGACAAGGAGATACTTTCTCAGAATACTGGCTCTAGCAGCTACCTGAAGCACCACTTCATGCAGCCTGGAAAGAGCTGATAGATCTAGCAGGAAGACTTCTCCATCACCATTCATACAGCAGACCAGTTCCCTTAGTTTCTAGTACCAGTACCATGTACATGGTTATTAATGACTTATATTTGACTTGAATGTGCTGCACTGATGATGAGTCCTGGCCCATAACATTTCCTACAGGAAAAACTTCTTAAAATGGCTTACTTCCCCTCATTCCTTCCACCTGCCTCCAATAAAGTTCAAATGATTTCTCTCCCTCGTTTGGCTCACGACTATTGGAAAAGGAGGTGCCTCAAGGGAATTTAGTTGCCTTCAACATTACCACTCCATGGTTACGAGAGGTTATAGAGTTACCTGGGAGACTGGATTGTGTTTGATTGCTTTCTAAAGAAAGTCAGCATAGATGTTAGAAATAGCATCCCTTTCACCAACTTACCAGCTGTTCCTCACAATGTCATAAATCCAGAAGGAATTCCTTACATTCTCTTCCCGCTTCTCCTTGTCTTTACTGAGCCCTGACAAGACATGGATTTCATTCAGTTCGGGATCAATGGTAGCCCTTTGAGTGAAACCTGTCATTGGAACTGACAAAAAAAAAAAAAGTTACACACTAAAAACAATGGAGGATACAGAAAGAGATCCAAGCATCAGACAAACGCACTTCCCTCCCCCTACAATTCAGCAGATTTTTCTAGTATCCATGGTAGAAGCATGAGATTTCACGCAACTATCTCTTCAGTATTCTGGGATAAGGAGCATTTTAAGTTTAACCTTCACTACCTAGTTTCCTCGTTTTCTTCTTTTTAATTACTTTTATTACTTCTCCAACTTTCATATAAAACCAAGTCCAACCAAGCGAGCGATCCCAAGCTGGTATTTTCTATGACCTCTCCTCCACAGTGATCTCGTTATTTACCACAACTTAAAACCGAAATGCCACATCTCAAAATAGGAGGCGTGCAGAAGTTGCTAAGCAAGCAATTTGCTTCTTGCACATGCCCTCCAAAGCAGGGCACGAGGGAGGAGGAAGAGGAGAAACATCACCCAGGGGCTGACTCCTTCCCTGCTAAGGACAAGTCCAGTATAAATTCTGACTCCTTGCCTATTTTGTGACTCCTGGAAAGCACAAAAACCATTCTGAGAGTTGCTGTTTCCTAGGAAAAGGTATGGGCAGAGCTATTTGGGAGACCACCAGCTCAGAAACAAGGATTAAACTGCCTCAGGATAGAGCTAGATGACCCTTGCAGATATGAACAGAGCAATTCTGTTATCTCGTCTGTACAAGGAAACATTGACTCCAGACAGCTTAATTGCAAAAGCTGGGAAACTCAAAAAAATTCAAGATTAACTCAAGATTACTTAGCTCACAACCTTGCATTGCTTCCTTTAGGACAAAGATTTCAAGGAAGTTTTCGGTATTTTCTAAATAGTTGTGGTATAATTACCAAGTTATTCTTCTGTTCCACCTTCAGATTTAGAAATATGGTGAAATACTGAGGATTCCAACAGTTTTCATCATAATTCCCCGAAAAAAGGTCAGCAAATTTGTTTGGCAGTCCTTTTTGTTTGTTGTATAATTCCCCATTTCCTGTTTCCCTAGGCAACCATCCTTCCAAAATGTATTTGTGAAGAGCACGTGATCTTTGTTTACAGATCCTGTTTGTCTCATTTCTTTTTCTGGGTCAGTTTACAAAGGCTGGTAAAGGTTCCTGGCCTTTGATCAACATTTTGGCACGAAAAATTCTCAGAACTCTTGTATTTTGCAAATTCTTCCCTGCAATTAACTGTGAATGGCACCCATGGACTAGAAAACAAGCCCTACGCTAATAAACCATTTAATATTGCTGTTTAAGAACATACAAAAAAGCGTTTTGCAAGCCCGTTCCGTAAAGTTTTCAGTCTCTCACTTCAATCTTCTCATCTGTTAGGCCAGGAAAGTAAGAAATATCAATTAAAAAATTCTGCGCAGCTTTTAGTTTTCTACACTTTAAAGCCCCTACTGAAACGTTTAGAAAAGTCAAAAACCCAATCATTTCTTAACGAAAAAAAAAGTGCTGAATTCTTATGTAAACTGAAGTAGAAACTGAATTATATTCAGATAATTCATCCTCAGAGTCCTGTCGACAAAAATCTTTGCTTATGGTTTTACGGAAAAGCAGGAGGCAGAGCCTCATCAGCATAAGCTTGCCTACTTTGACCTCTGATTTTGCCACAAAGTTTCGAAGGAAAATTAATTCAGTTTATAGGCAAAGGGGTGGCAAAGCAGAGAAAAAGAAAAAGCAGGAAACAATGCTGGCAAAACAACAACATACCTTGTTTTAGCTGCAAACCACAAGGAAGTTTTTAAATAAGACTAATGAGTACTGTGAAAGTAACCCAATAAGGAAATTGAGAACAAAAAGACAACTACAGATTAAATATCATTAATTTTTGTAAGGTATCATGTAAAGTGTTTGCTTGCATAGTCAGGGACTAAATCATTGACCCAAAAGGATTAAATTCAAGGCATATTTGAGACATTTCTGGCCGGAGAGCCATCTAAATTTGATCAGCAATGCTAATGTATACGGAAAACATCTTTGCAACCCTGCCTGCTGCTTTGAACATTCAAGACCATGCCGGGTTTTTAGAAAAAAAAACATGCAAATCTTCAGAGTATTAATACCTCAGGCTCATTGAAATGAAAATTATTATAATCATGAGGAATACGGTTGCTATATTACCATTGATACAGAAAGCATATGAAACTTGTCTACGGAAGTCCCATCCCTCCTCCTGAAATATTGTTAAATAAATGGATTTTGTATCTAGTTTATGCTCAATTTCCTGAAGCTGAAATTATTATTTAAATAATACAGGAGGGAAAAGCTGCCAAAGTTCAGCGTCTGTTTTTTCACTCTTGATAGTAAGAATAGGATTTACCTGCAGCAACTGCAGTGAAAACTCAAGTTCAAGTCAATTAATTTCAGGCTTCCTGCAGTTGCACATCAATCTCTTCTTGAGATTGTTGGAAATGCAGAATGCCTAGAAAAATAATGTATCCAAAAATACGTATCCCTACATTTAGTAGGGGCCTAAGACAAGGAGCAACTTACATAAAATCTTTGACCTATCTAAGCAACTGTGTAGAACAATATTTAAGTAATGCCTTAGGGTAGACAAAGTTGAAGTCTCATCTTTTCCAAACAAAGATCCAACTAGAAAGTTCGACATAACATGATTAAAAAACCACAAGACAACACAAATTTGGTAAAGGAGTCCCTGAAAATAAAACAATAAGGAAATAAGGTGAGCTACTACACAGTAAGAGGGAGATGCTGAGATATTTTAAACACAACAGAAACGTCGAAAAGATGTTTACCAAGTCTGATCCTTGACAGAGCAAAAGGGCTACGTAAAATCCTCATGACCAACCAACGCTTCCACTAGGGGGTAAGAGAGCTTCACAAACCGCAAGCGCAGCGGACCTGCAGGAAATGCTGGATACAATCCAAATGATTGCGGTCAGCATATTAGAGAGGGACACGGGCTGTAAACTTGTGAAAAGTACTTGTGATATTTAGCTACCAAAATGTACGTCGGGAAGGAAATTTAATTGTCCATGGGAGACAAAAATGAACCTGTGACAGTAACTGATTGCTTAGGAGATTTTTTTTTTTTTTTTTAAGTTCTAAGACTCAGTAAAAAGTCATAAACAACAACAAGGGGTGAGAATCAGACACGGTAATGCCCGTGCACCGCAAGAACCATCATTTTGAACCACAGAACCATAGAATGGTTGTGGTTGGAAGGGACCTCAAAGATCATAGAATCATAGAGTCGTTAGGGCTGGAAGGGACCTTCAAAGGTCATCTAGTCCAACCCCCCTGCAACAAACACGGATATCTCCAACTAGATCAGGTTGCTCAGGGCCTCATCCAACCGGGCCTTGAACGTCTCCAGGGATGGAGCATTCACCACCTCTCTGGGCAACCTGTTCCAGTGTTCTACAACTCTCGCGGTAAAAAATTTTTTCCTAATATCCAACCTGAATCTACCTCCCTCTATTTTGCACACCGGCCCCTCCTAACCAGCCTCTCCCCATCTTTCTTGTAGGCCCCCTTGAGGTACTGGAAGACCGCTATAAGGTCACCCCGGAGCCTCCTCTTCTCCAGGCTGAACAGCCCCAACTCTTTCAGCCTGTCCTCATAGGAAAGGTGCTCCAGCCCTCTTATCATCTTCGTGGCCCTCCTCTGGACCCTCTCCAACTGGTCCATGTCCTTCTTATGTTGGGGGCTCATGATCATCCGGTTCCAATCCCCCTGCCATGAGCAGAGACACCCTCCACCACACCAGGTTGCCCAAAGCCTCATCCAACCTGCCCTTGAACACTTCCAGGGATGGGGCAGCCACAACTTCTCTGGCAACCTGTTCCCCTTGGACCTAGTACATTTGTCATGCATTAGGTCCAAGGGGCGCATAAAGTGGCAAGAACAGCTCCACAGAAGTTCCCTCCCTCTTCTCCTTCTTCGCCTAAACATGGTAGTTAGCTTTGGAGCAAACCTCCACCGATTTCCCACCGTTCAGAGTGCCTCTCAGGCCCTGCGATCACTCGGGTCAGCTGCGGCCAGACAGCTCGAAGGACAAGGCAGCAGCTGAGGACTTAGCCCTGGTTGTTTGGAACACAGCACTGGCCTGTGGCTACGTGATATTAACTTGGCTCCTACGACAACACGTAACTGATTGAAGAGGAAAAGCTGTACAGAGAAATTGCAAAACACAATACAACCCCGAGAAGTCTAGTAGATGGTGAATGCTTTTCTTGTGCCACTGCATTTTTTTCCCTCTGTAATCTCATTAACCAGTCCAGGATAGAAGGGTAGTAACTAACTGGAAAGAAGAGGTCTGAATCCTCTCTCCAGAACTTAACATTTTAATTTATTTTTACATAGCAAAACTGAAAAGCTCCTGGCCTCAATATCTGAAAACAATATTCAGCCACACAGGCCTTGAGTTAGCAGCCAGTTACATAAACAAGCAGTAATTCCTGAGAAAGCTTCGATAAGATGCTGCGTAACCCTGTACAATTTAATTTCCATTTAAATATAACGCATGGGAAAAACTTCTGTAGAAAAGTGACGCCTCACTGTGAAATAGGTATGTTCCCACCACCACAGCCTCTACTCACAGGCATTTATTTGGTCATAGTGATCATTTCAGCAAGCTGAATATTTTGGGGCTTGTACGTGCAAACAGCTACAGTGGTTTCAAGCGCAACGTTGGCTGCTGCCAGCATCTAAACAAGAAAACGGAGCTTTTATGCAGAGGCGGAGTTTGGAGAGCAGTAAATCGGGAGTTGACAGATGTGGTTCTCTCAGCACTAGGCAGAAGTTTGGAAATTAAACCTCATTTCTTACATCCGAGGGGATACTAGGGCATGTTTTTAAATATGCTCTGCAACACAGCATTGGCAAGACAACAATGGAACTTTGCAGACCACTTCTGAAGGATTCGTGAAGGATAATTAAGGGAAGCAAGTTCCCTGACAGCCTTGTAGTGCCACCTAAGTTACAAAACCCCCAGAACACGTTACTGCTAATCCCCC